AATCTTTGCAAGTGAATCTGATGGGAGCCAGGGTTTAGGTCTTTCTTAATTTCCCTATCACCCAAATTTATCCTGTTGTACTTGATACTCAGTACACTTACTTTGAAATTTACTGATCATACAATGTGATTTTTTGACTTTTCCCAGTGATAAGGTCCTGAGGGTAGGGACCTCCTCATCTTACTCCTCTGACCACTTCCACAGTCTGCATGGCTGCCTGAGATAAGTAATCAGAAAATGTGTGTTAACCTGAATTTCCTCAAAATGTATACCATGTCTGTAACTATTCATGCTTTTTCTGCTACTCTGTCAGACAAAGCATCAGTCTTTTTAAAAGTAAACTTCCATGGTGTTTTTGCCTCATCTCTCTCTAGTTCCTTTGAGATTCCTGCTTTATTGGTAAGCCTCCTTCATCCTTGTAACTTCAGACTCTCTTTCTTTCTAAAACCACATGGTGATCTCTCCTATTCTTCAACACTCTTTCTGTCCTCAGACCTCCACAAACTGTCCCATCTCTCTTCCAAGAAATGTCTCATTTCTCCCATTCTATTAAGGTCAAAATTCTTGAAACAGTAATATACTGTTGACTTGATTACCTCCATTCGGATCCTTTCAGTCTGGTTTAACTCCTACTACCTTTGAATTACTCTGTTTGTCTCCAATAACTAGTTTGGGACTATGCAATGGTAACTGCCTAAAAATAAAAAAGAAAACACAAATTAGGCCCAGCAATATGGTTTTTATTAGCACTGTATCACAACTAACTGACACTGACTTCATGATTATATTGCCTTGAAAACTAGAACCAAATTCATTATTTACCATAATTCTTTTTGCTTTCTAAATTTTATCCATCTGTTGAATCATTATTGAATATTTGTGTTTTGAAACTTGTTACTGTTAATAAACACTTCTAACTTTTTCTTTTACAAATCATCTGGGTATTTTATTTTTCTCTCTTTGTTATATCTGAAGAGTAGGGGTATAGTTTACTAACAATGCCAGCTTTAAAAGATCCTTTGTCAGCCTGCTCATCTTTTTTCTGTTTCACAATTAGCTTGTCCATCTCTTTTTTTTCCTATTCTTTTCCCCTGCATGTAACAATTTATTTTTGTAGGAAATTAGAAATGGTAGCCATTTATTGTTCCTGCAAAAAAGCACATGGAGATGACATCTTCCTCTAACTCCCTTTAAGTTCACAAGAGGAAAATGTCCTAGGGTTGATTGTTTCCAAATGCCCTTGTTTTTTTGCACTTTTCTTCACTTCCAACAATAGGAGACTAGCTGCATCTTAGATGGCTGCTTGAAAGCTTTTAAGACTCCAGTTACTACTCATCAATGTAGATTGTGGAACAAGATTTTTATGTATTTTGTTGTGCCAATTGAGAGTTTTCTATAAATTTTAGAGGAGCTCTGGTAGCATAGTGCCTAAGGCACTTGACTGCTAACCAGAAGGCTGGTGGTTCAAACCCACCAGCCACTCCTCGGAAGGAAGGTTGGGCATTCCTACTTCTGTAGTGATACTACCTCAGAAACCCAAGGAGGGGTCACTATGAGTCAGGGCCAACTCGATGGCAAATAACAACAACAACAAATAAATTTTAGAGATAAGTCATTTGTCACATATGTTGTTGCCAAATATTTTTTCCTGATCCATAGGTTCTCTTTTTACTGGAGAAGTCTTTTGATGTATGTAAGAATTTAATTTTTAGAAGGTCCCAATCATCTAGTTTATCTTCTGCTGTTTGTTCATTTTGGGTTATGCTTGATAGTCTATTTATAGCATAAAATTAGGGCCCCCTAAGTGTGTCCCTGTTTTTCCTTTGATGAACTTTATAGTTTCAGATTTCACATTTAAGTTTTTGATCCTTCTGGAGTTAGTTTTTGTGTATGGTGTATGGTGTAGGTTTTATAGTGTGAGCTATGGATCTTGTTTTGGTATGGATCCAGTTTTTCCAGCACAATTTGTTAAAAAGACTATCTCCTCCCCATTTAATGGATTTCAGCCATTTGTCAAAGATCAGCTGACCATAATGGATGGATCTGTTTCTGGTTCTCAATTATGTTCCACTGGTCTGTGTGTCTGTCATTGTACCAATATCAGGCTCTTTTGACTACTGTGGCTGTATTATTGAGCACCTATGTATTTTAATTGAATGAATGAATCTTAGTTTGGCTTCCATCCTTTCTCCACTAGTTCTTTGTTCTAATTTACCCAATAGGTGGTCATCCAGAAACCATCTGGATGAAAACTGCCAGTGAGAGACTTGAACATTATCTAGAAAGCAGCAAAGGAAAAACATTTTTTTGACTTCAATATTTATCATAAAATTAATGCAATAGTCTTCAGGTAGTTTTAATAGAGAAAACAATCACATAGATCTTTTATTCAAACTATTTCTGTTTACTGTTTAAAGTAACAGAATATGAGAGGAAACTGGTGATGCTTTCAATTGGACTTACAATTGTAGTAACATATGTACAAGTGAGTTGATTATTAATTATATATCAGAAAAAAAATTGAAATTTAGGGTTCCTCCTCAAAAGTTACAAAGTTCATGGTCTTTCTCTCTAGCAGTCATGGACTGCTAGTCCCCAGATTACACTAAGAAAAGTGCTTCAGAGGCAGAATTTTTGTTATGTTTGAGCCCCCTTGTTGAAGCCTCTGTGTCAGTCCATCCGGTTGAGGGCTTTCCTCTTTTTTTGCTGATCCTCCGTTTTACCAAGCATGATGTCCTTCATAGCAGTAACTGTAAGGATGGAGCGCGGCCAAGCAGTGTTTCATTCTGTTGTGCATAGGGTCGTTATGAGTCAGAACAGATGTGATGGCACCTAACAACAGAGGTAGAAATATAATTAACACTCTTGTGTGACAATTCGTTTTATTTTCAGGACCTCTAGAAAAGAAGGCAATTGATTCTACAACTCCTTATTTGAATCCCTTTGCAACTACAAAAACTGCTGGGAAATATAATTTTAAGTCTAACCTATATCCACAGGATACTATTTTATAAAATGCAGTACAGACACTCACTAGCTAAAAGTTAAAATTGCTATTTTAAGCTTTCTTGAGCCAGAAGATTCATAGTAAAGATTTCTTACTGTCTTGACTCAACATACTGATGATTAGAAAAAATCTCTATACTTTGTGTAGCTAAATAAAGGTTTCTCTGGCAACGTAAGTTGAATTCTAGACTTTTTGTGATTAAGATCTCAGTCACAAAATTGCATTTGATTTACATGAAACCTTGAATCATAAGAACTCCACTGCTTAAATTCTAAGTGGATTTAATACCTTATTTTATAGTATGCTTGGTGATATTCATGAGTTGTTCCTTACTTGTTATGTAAGTAAGTATCATTGTCCATGTTTTACAGAGGAGAAACAAATAACACATAAATTCATCTAATTTTCTAAAAAGATTCAGGGAAGAAAAACAGTGAAAAGTAAAAAGCTCATGTTCCTTGTATTTTCAGGCCATTGCTTAATCAGTAATTGTTCAGCTCAGCTCTACATTTGTTATAATCTGGACAGTTTCGAAGTTTGAGTTCTTGAAACACTAAATTAAGAGTGAAATAATTCTAGTATTTGGTTTTCCTTACATAGGAAATTTGGTTTTCCTTACAGGATATTTTCACACATTTCCATCTATATAATCTGTACTCTTTGCTATTTTTAAGTTAGTAAATTACATAAATAAATAAGAATAAAGACAGCAAGTTGCAAAGATCATAATAAGCAATAAGAATGACTTCTAGATAGCTTAATAGTAGCATAGAGGTCCCATATCCTGTAGAGAAATGTCAATAGAAAAGTCAAAATGAACTATTCCATACTATTCTCTTCTGTAGCTATATGGTCATGTTATTACAGACAAATTTTTCAGTCTGCATTTTTTTTTCTCCAAAATTAATGGTTCTTTTAAATTTATAGTTTAAAATTCATGCTATCAGATGCTTACTGCTTTGTTTGCATTCTCCCAACAGACTTGGGAATCAAGGAAAGAGCAGAGAATCTTTAACCTTTTTGTTTCCCATCTCTATACATTGTTGTTGCTAGGTGCTATTGAGTCGGCTCTGACTCATAGTGACACTACGTACAACAGAAGGAAACACTGCCTGCTCCTGTGCCATTGTCACAATTGTTGATGAACCTAGGCATAGTTAAGTAAGCAATTGTAATTGTAATTGTTGCCCATCATTGCAGCCACTGTGTCAATCCATCTCATTGAGGGTCTTCCCCTTTTTCTCTGACCCTCTACTTTACCAAGCATGATATCCTTGTCCAGGGACTGATCCTTTCTGACAACATGACCAACTGTATGAGACAAAGTCTGGCTGTTCTCGCTTCTAAGGAGCGTTTTGGCTACACTTCTTCCAGGATAGATTTGTTTTTTCTGGCATTCCATGATATTTTCAATATTCTTCACTAACACCACAATTTAAATGCATCAATTCCTCAGCCATCTTCCTTTTTTATTGTCTAGTGCTCATGTGTTCATGTACTGATGAGGCTATTTAAATACTAATGAAAATACCTTGACTTGGGTATACAAGCCATACACATTAGAAATAATAAATAAACAATAGCAACTATATAATATATACATGCTATGTAGGAAGGTTGTACAGTCTACTTCTGTAGTGATATTGCCTCTGAAACCCAAGGAGGGGTCTCTATGAGTCAGATCTGATTTGACACAGCGGGTTTTTATATGATACATACACACACTATTTTTGAGTATGGCATAATTCATGCTCTATTTGGGCTAATAATAATTACTGAATCAGAGGTTGTTGGGAAATGCCTACCTCTAAGATTTTTAGTCTTTTTAGCAGAGTTTACAATAGATAACTGTTTAACATCACAGGAAAGCAATGTGCTGTTTCTGAGAGCCTTTTTTTCAATCAGTGGAGGAAGTCTTTACGGAGTATGGGTTTGCACAGTCATGTCTGTGCCAGGTTTGTTGCATGGGTGGTGGGTGTTGAGTGGGTGGAGGATGCTTGCTGAGGAACATGACAGTGAGGCTTTGGGGAAGGAAACTTCTGGTGCTCAAAGTGAGTAAGAAGTTTCAATAGTAGTAAAATCACAAAACAATCTCGCTTATGCTGACTGTTTTGCCAATAGATGGAAGAAATTTTTTTTTAAGCATTATTTTCTGTAGTATGGGAGTTTTGTTTGTATTTAGTTTTATAGTTATTTGTGTGGATGCTTGTTTTAATGTTGTTTTTAAAAACCTGATGTTTCTGATACCATTTTTAATTATCCTCTTCAATTTCATGGAGGGATAATTTAAGTATAATTAACTGCATCCATTTAAAAAGTATAATTTGATGATTGTACCTTTCATTGATTATCATTCTGTTGATTTTTTTCATCACTGCCAAAAACAAGATACAAAATATTTCCATCACTTTCAAAATATTCCTCATGACTCTTTGCAGGCTGTCCATTCCTTTATCTCAGTCTGCAGGCCACCAGAGACTTTGTGCCACCTTAGATCGGTTGCATTTTATGTAAATGGAATCATATATTATATACTCTCCTCTGTCAACCTTGTTTCTCTCAATGGAATGATTTGATGTTGTCAATGTCGTGGATTCCTTTCTGTTGGTGAGTAGTGTTCTATCGTATATATAATTCAACAATTTACCTGTCGATGGACATATGTTTGTTTCTTTTTTGGGGAGCTATTGTGAATAAAGCTACTATAAAAATTTATGTACAAGTCTTTGTGTGAACATATATTTTCATTTCTCTTAAATAAATACCTATTAGTGGAATGGCTAGATTGTATAGTAGGATATGTTTGACTTTGGAAAAAATCTTCTAGATATTTTCCAGTGTAATTATAGTATATGATCCTATTAGGTAAAATAGTTGTATTATTTTTAATTTATACAATGGCAGTGTATGAGATCTCTAGTTGCTCCACATCCTTGCCAGTACTTGGTATTCTTAATCTTTTTAATTTTAGCTATTGTTGTAGGTGTGTAACCATTATCTCGTTGTGTTTTTTATATTTTTTTATTTTTTTTTCCTACACTTCTAGGGGGAAACTTGAAACACACAAAACTTGACAGCAGAATCTCAGAGACTTATAGAGCAATGCTCATTGTAGCACAATTCACAATAACCAAAAGGGGAAAGCAACTTAAAGGCCCATCTCACTGTGGTTTTAATTTGTATTTTCTTGATGATCACTAATGTTGAACATCTTTTTATGTGCTTACTGGCCACTTGTATATCTTTATTTGTGATGAAATGTCTCTTCAAATAACTTGCCCAGTTTTCTACTGATTTTTTGTAATGATTAAATTGTAATAATTCTTTATATATTCTGCATATCTTTGTCAGATATATGCATTGCAAGTATTTTCTCCTATTTTGTGGTTTGCCTTTCATTTTCTAAATGATAGCTTTGAAAGAGCAAACATTTCTAATTTTGATAACATCCTGTTTATCACATTTTTCTTTCATAGTTTGTTCTTTTTGTGTCCTAAGAAATCTTTGTATATGCCAAAACCATCGAGGTTGTTTTAAGTTTTTTTCTAGGAGTATTATAGTTTAACTTTTACATTTAAGCCAATAGCTCACTTTAAGGTAATTTTTTTGTGTATGCTTTGAGGGAAGGATTGATGTTCTTTTTTTTGTTTGTTTTATATTGATGTCCAAAGTTAACATCAATAATTATTAAAAAGACTCCTTTCCCTATTCAATTGCCTTAGAATCTTTTTTGATAGCCAAATATCTATAGGATTTGGGACCTCTATGCTGATATTGAGCTATCTAGAAGTCATTTTTATTGCTTATTATGATCTTTGCAACTTGCTATCTTTATTCTTATTTATTTATTTATGTAATTTACTGACTTAAAAATAGCAAAGAGCACAGATTATATTTGTGGATTTATTTCTGGGATCTCTGTTCTGTGCAGTTGCTTTATATGTCATCCTTCACCTAGGACCAGATAGTCTTGATTACTATAACTTGAAATTAAGTAGATTTTTTTTTTAAATTGGCTATTTTAGTTTTTTTCCTCCCATTTATATTTATGTTTTAGGATCAGCTTCACAATTTAAACAGAATAGATTACTGATTTTGATGATTATCTCATAGTTTATAGGTCAAGTTGGAGAAAATTGACATCTTATTGAATCTTCTTATCAATGGTAAGAACATGGTATTTCTTTTTTTGTATCTTTTATTAAATTTATTCTTAAGTATTTTATTTATCTTTAGCACTATTATAAATAGAAGTTTTTGGGTTTTGTTTCATGTTTTTCCTCTCACTCTATCCAGGATCTCCAGATCTGATCTTTACCTGAGTGGTTGGCATTAGTAGCCAGGCACCATCTAGTTCTTCTGGTCTTGAGGACCATCATGTCCTAGGGCTGATTGCTTCCAAATGCCCTTGGTTTTTTGCACTCTTCTTCACTTCCAACTATAGGAGACCATTAGCTGCATCTTAGATGGTCGCTTGAAAGCTTTTAAGACCCCAGTCACTACTCACCAATGTAGGATGAGGAACAAGGTTTTTATGTATTTTGCTGTATCTTTCAAGGAATTCATCTACTTCATCTAAACTATTTAATTTTATTAGCATAAAATTTTTAATGATATTCTCTTATTCCTTTCATGAACACAGTGTCCATATTAATATCCTGTCTTTTATTCCTGGTATTAAAAACTTTTATTCTCTTGCTCTTCCTTTTGATCAGTTTAGCTACATATTTTCATGATCTTTTCAATGATTCAGCTTTGGATTTTGTACTGTTTTATATTGTTAGTATTTTATACTATGGATTTCTGCTGTTACTTTTATTATTTCCTTCTCTCTATTTCGTTTTCAGTTACTTTAGGTGGATTATACACATTCCTTCTTTTGTAATTAGCACTGAAAGCTGTTAATTTCTAAGTACTACTTTAGCTGCATATCACAAGTTTTGATATGTTGCATTTTAATTGTCACCTAGTTCAAAGTAGTTTCTAGTTTCATTGAAGAATTCTTCTTTGACCAAAATTTTACTTAACAAACTATTTAATTTCCAGTTATTTGGTGTTTACCTAGCTACATTATTGTAAGGATTTTTTTTTAAGAAACGTGTTTACTTCCAATTATTTGAGATTTTCCTAGATATCTTACTGACATTTAATCTAGTTTTTCTTTGATGAGAGAACATCCTCTGTAAGATTCAATTTATTTATGTTTTTAGCATCTGAAAACAACATGTGTGTTATCTCACATGGATTCTGAGGGTGGAAATTCAAGAATGTCTTAGCTAGGTGGTTTTGGTTCAGGATAGCATATGAAGTAGTAGTCAAGAAATCAGGGCTGTAGTCATCAGAGGGTTTGACTGGGGATGGAGGATTTGCTGCCAAGTGTTCTCACTCATGGCTTTTGGCAGGAGGCTTCAGTTTTTCAGTGGTAATTGTCACCAAGCTTTGATTCTTGATGACCTTGTACAGATTGCTTAAACATTATGAGTAGAAATTATTTTTGTCTCTAAAAAGAGTATAATATCAAAGACATTAAAATAAATAACATATACTTATTACCCAAAATATGCCATTTAGTGTAAATGTTCAATAAATTATTTTTAAAATACATTTAGTTAAAGAAAATAGCAGCTAAAAGTTCCCTGGTTTCAAAATTTCTTCAGAAAAACACTGCATTAAATGTTACCCTTAAATATTCATCTTTACTGGGCAGATACACCCACTGCACATATAATAGATGTGATCTTTTCACGTGAATTTTTTCTAGGAGCTTTGCATCTTCCACAGTAGAACCTGACAATATCCAGCCTTAACTTCAATCATATGTCTGTTGTTCTCACTTTAGGGCCATACTGAATTATTTGTGGTTCTTCTGGAAGTTCCATGTGGCTTTATGCTTTCCCCTACATGACATACTTTCTATATGCAATTTGTTTTTCCATGTACTTTCCTGGGCCACTTTTAAATTGAACATGGGTTCTAGACTCATATTAAGGCTTTAATATGCAGTTAAGGCTCCACTTTCAGATGGTTCTATTCACTCACACCAAGTTCTTCTGATTTTAAGCTCTCATACAGTGCTATGCTCATAGAATTTTTACATTTTAGAATCTTGAATTGTCTTATAAGAAATTATAGACTTTTGTCTCAATGATATTTCTTACATTTAAGAGTGTTGATAAATATTTTATTATGAAATTATTTTTGTCCTTATTTGACACCTATTTCAAGAATATAATCACTAAACAACCCAAGGCCCATCCAAAGGAAATTTCTAATTCAATTTTTGATAAATAGGTTATTACTCTAGACAACAGTTTTAAAAGCAAGTCTTAGCATGTTTCAAGATCTGTCCTGAAGTACAATGCTGTCAGTGATAGGATAATATCCATATGCCTACAAGGAAGACCCGTTAATATGACTGTTATTCAAAT